TGTTAAATTTTCCCACATTGATATGAATAATAGCTCTGCTTTACCAAAAAGTGTTATCATCCAGAGTGGGCTGCAGAGCGCACTCGTGGCAATGTGGCGTCTGGTTAACGTGACGAGATTACCCACTGCAATGTCATGCTTCGACTGCGGCTGAGGGTGTTGATAAAATCTAATGGAGGTTAAAACTGCAATCCCTTCTGGATAAGAACACTTGTTGGATAAGCAAAACATGAAACATCAGCTCTATTCATAGGATTGTGGGAAAATCCATCTACCAGTTGTTAATTACCTTAAACGAAATAGGGTGAATACATCTTATATAACCGATTTACTGGTTATTTCGAAACCCTAGTTATGAACGAAAAATGAGATAATAATAACAGATTCATCATAGTGATTGTAAATTATGTAATAATAAAAAAAAATAGCGCGAGAATAAACACTTCTTTGGGGTCATAACTGGAAATTGGATAACTCTATCGGGTTTGTGATACTATCCTTCTGTCAACTTTCGACAAAGATACGCTGAGAAAATAGGACATAATGGCAGTGTCCACGTTCATGTTATCTTTTCTAGGATATTCGAAAATCCTCTCCACTGTTGCCAGATTTTGTAGTCATGTGGTAACTTCTATGAGAAGGGAAAAGTGAAAACTCATAGTTGGAAGGTTATCTGAACATAAAACCGCATACATATTTTTATGAGTGTAGTAATCAAAAATATATGACCTATTTAATAAATAGGAAATAGGTAGTTTGAACAATATTTTATCTCAAAACTATTGCCACCTGGGATTAAGAGAGAACTGCTTTTCAATGATCAAATATATGAAGATTTTTATAAAGTTTAGGGAAACTTTTGAGTAAATAGACATTAGAATAATGTTTAAAGATAAACTGACAATTTCCACAGTCCTTGAGAATCTTCGGATCCTCTTTCTACATCTGAATACTACAGGATTTTGAACTCATCTGATAACGTCCATGTGAGGAATATCGGCTGAACCAACCTGAAGAGTTAATATAAACAAATAAATGCGTGCCAAAGTTTATGGGTCCATATATTCTAACAGGCCAAAAATATGACAAATAAAAGTGGGTGATAACAAGACCAAGTTGCGACAACGAGGTCAACCCATTTCTATAAATCGAAAAGAGGCTGCGACCCTACCAAAGTTCACAAAATCTTGGTCTTCATATCTTCAATTAACAATAAATCACACCAAATAGAACGGTCCAATCACACCTCTTTGCCGACTACCCAGGTTTCACATATTACAGTAGAATAAAATGGCCCATAGGAACAAATGAAACAGCTGACATAATAAATAGGAGGAATGAATATGGGAAAATGCGATTTATTTATGATTAGTTGAGTATGGATATTAAAAATAGTGTCTAGCAGAGATGACTCAGTATTTATAATTATTTTAAGTATATGAGACAGGTAAACAAGGACAAAAATGGTCTAAATATTCGGGATTTTCCTAAAGTTTCATAATTCTTGGAAGGCTTACTGCTTTACATAAGGAACGGTCTACTGTCTCTAGTAAAGGACTTCAATCGTAGTCATGATGAGCCAGTTGTTTGATTATTTAATCTTCTTTATTATCATTTATCTCCGGGTGCTTTGCAGGTTAAAACATATCATCCGTCTGATCGACACCGACGTGAAGAGCATTACAAAGTCGGCCCTGCTGAACAATCTTCGGTACACAGTGACTATTCTCGAGGCTGTCTATCAAGATGAAACAAAGTAGGCGCTTGATACTTTGACGCTTAAAAATATATTAAAAATGTATCTATTTCCGTAGAATATAACAACATTTTTCATTCTCTCACATGAGCATTAGCCTAACTCTCAATCATTCAAATTTCCATGCAACTTACTTCTAGGCCAGTGATTCCAAAACTGTGCACTTGACAGATTTGGAATGTTCTGGAAGATCCTGCCAGCTCGATTCTGTCAGTCGACTTATAATTTGAGTCTAGTAAAGTTAAACTCAGCACTTCATATATACATAAACAGTGACATAAATTAGTAAATGAGTTCATATTATAATTAAGGTAGTGTTTTATTACGTCTTTTTTGTTGTCTTTGATAAATAATGTTGTGATTTTTGGCTCTTGTATCTTTGATAATGGACCGATTTTTGAACAGTTATAAACGTAATAGTGCAGATAAAGGAAGTATGCCTTCAACCAGTGGCAGTAGTGTGAAGAAACGAAAATATCACAAATATGATGACAGTTATTTAGAGTTTGGTTCTACGTCAACAAAAATTAATGGTGAAGAGATACGACAATTTGTATTGTGTATGCAAGTTTTGTCAACAGAGTGTATGCTTTCAAGTAAATTGAAGCGCCATTTAGAAGCTAATCACTACAGTATGGTTGGCCGTGTCCAGTTTAATTCCACGATTTGAGGAAATTCTATGTGATTTGCAGGCTCATCCATCACATTAATTATTAAATATTAATATAACGTCAACGAGTTTTATTTATTTTTATCTTTTACTTGCGAATAGTCATACTTAGGGCAGGGCGCCATGGAAAAATTTTAATCAAAAAAGGGCGCCGCGACTAAGAAAAGGTTGGGAACCACTATTCTAGGGTCATGTGACCAACAGGATTGCGCGCTTGTTTCTCGAAATCACGCATCAAATGATTAAGTACAATGAAACAGTGAGGCTTAGTCCAAGCTGCGATCCAGCCGGAACGAAAACAGCTCCTTTGGTGGAATGGGGCAGATGAATTGACCGAAAACGAAGTCATTTGTTCAATTCACCGTGTTGATACATATTTCTGTAGCCTTAAGCGAAAATGGTATATCGCACCGCAAAGTCATCTTCCCATTAGAAGCTATCATATCCATGATCACAGTCAAATAAGCACTAACAGACATCGCGAAGCATGATTTTACAACAAGAATTTAGTGACGAGTAAACAATATGCCGCTGTATTTTAAAAGAATTTTTATCAATTCGTTTACGAGGCATTTACTGACAAGCCGAAGATGTGGAGATAAGTGAGCACTTTAAATCGGACTTCCAAAAAGTGAGCCTGTTTGGCGGACTGACGATGGGGTCCTGCATGAAGAATTGCTTTTATTATAGAATGTATTAAAGAAAAGATGCTACAACAGAGCGATTTATCTTATGCTCATCTCTAGAGTTTCAAATTTAATAAAGGATAATGCAAGATACCAAATATTTTGCATAGTTGGTTGTTTAAAATTTCCGAAAAATTGCGCCGGCTTCTCTATCCAAATAAAGTAAGATTCTTTTAGATAATAAGATCAACGATATTCTGGTGCTTTTAAGCCAACCTAATGTATTTTGGTCTCTTAAAAAAAGAAGTACTTTTAAAAAAATAATTGGTATATAACAATTCAATATGTAATATAATTTTCAAATCTTTGTCTATATACATATGCGCAGAAGGCATATGGGTCAAATTATTAGGTACAAATGGGTGCCTATTCACAGCACCTTAAAAAAGGACACTTGGTAATACGGGATATTGAAGAATTGGAATAATAAAATATAATTTTATGGCAAAATTATATATGCAAATGAGCTAAATTATGATGTCCTGACTTTCAGGATTTTCCGAGTATACTCTCGTCTCATTAAAGAGGGCCATCTACTCTTTTTCTGCTCTGTATCAATCATTTTTGTCCTTTTACACTCGCAGACGTCTCCGTGATGAGGAGGACGATCTTTCCGAGGTGACCGCAGACGTAGTGCCAAATGAGGTGCGTGACTGGTTGGCGTCCACTTTTACGCGGACAATGGCAACTGCTCAACATGAAGAGGCAAAGACACGATTCCGATCTGTTGCCAACGCGATACGCGCAGGCATTATGGTTGAAAGGCAAGTGAAGTGTGAAAAGTAGAATAGGAAAATAGCGATATTTATGACGAAGAAATTGTCAAATATGCACTTAGTCACCATACAATTGCTGATATAGTCGAAACACTGTCACACTGAAAATAAGTGACGTCGTCAATTGTAATGGCAAATACAAGTTCGCATACTCCCACAATAGCTGTGATTTAGTAGAGGCTTAGTTTGCCTTAAAAGTCATATCTACTTTATGACACATTGGCACCTGCTAAATGCTCACTAATTGGGCTGGCATAACAATGAGTGTGCTAATTTGTGTCGGACCTGCAATCACTACGGCACTGGATGAGCTTTTGGGAGAAAAATCTCACTCAAATTCAATGGCCTCTTGGGGACTCCTCACATAATAATGAGAAAAATTTCGCTATCAGTCCTTAAATCACCTAAAGCGACCTAGATTTTATAAGCTATTATATAAATATTGAGGAAAATACGAATAAATCTATACAGAGAAATCAAATATCCAAAAGAATATCAGCCCAACATGAAGAGGGATATATATCTATGCACTTTCAAATATTACTAATTGTCTAATTCTTAGTATGAGAATATATTTTCCCTCAAAGTAAGAGTATTCCATTTCTATCTCGATAGTAACCAAGGTCGCATACGGTGATAATGAATCTTCACACAATATGACTATGAATAGGCCTTACGTTTTAATTAAATTTTACTTGAAATAGCCTCCCAGAAAGATATTCTCATTCCGTCTGGACTGCAGTTTCGATCTCACCTGGGCCTAATAAATAACCAAGTGGGGGTCTTATCATGTCTTTTCGACATGTTCCCAATGCGCCATACTGCTACGAGTGCCATAAGGCAGATGTGACTTTCAAGATGATTATAGTAAGAATGTCGATGAGACAAGTTCATATTTGGCAGAAAAATAGAATACGTTACTTATATTCACATTTAGTAGGTTTAAATAATTACAGTAGATCATGAATAGGAACTGCATTTTACGGTACCATGATGACTATCCAGGAAATGCAACTATCTTTCATCACATTGTGCAACCTGGGATAACCATAATGCTTAGTTGAGACATATTGATGGCATCGAAGTCTACTCTTTGTGAATATAATAAAAAGAAAATATTTTAATCATGTTAATGATATATAGTGGGCCTGGTCCCCGTGGCAATGTGATGTAGTGGTAGAACTTCGACTCTATATGCAGCAATTTCCGTGGTTCGATTCTCGTTTTGGGCCATTTCCCGTTTTTGAGACCAAGTCTAGGTCGAAACCGCAGTTTAATTCAGTGGTATCGTGGGGTCACTTCGTTTAATTGTGGGAAAATTCAACTAATGTGGCCTATGAGGAAGGAAGCATAATATGCCATACTTACCATACTTAGCACTTTTATGAGAAAGTCTAGAGGAGCTTGCCCTAACTGCCAAGATCCAGGGTTTTAAACTTTAAGGCATCAAAGGTGCTGGATGCAAGAAACAATTTCAAGCTCTCCCATAATATGTTTTATAGAAAGCTTTCTTTTAAGACTAAGTGGGCGCCATTTATCAAACAGTCCAAATCATTTTTCTTAAAGGACTGTAAATTAAGTATTTGCTTTTGACGAAGCATTTAACTGTTTTGCGCAAATTACAAGTCGATTTCTAAATATAAGTAAGTATGGGACGGTCAAGGCATCCTGGCATTACTGAGTACTGGTCTGGAAAGATCTATTTATTTTAGAAAACTCATCCGAGACAGGCTAAATGCTGGTGTGTGGCGCTCAATTCATAAAGAGATTCTCGTTTTGGTACCTGAAAAAATGCTTGAAAAGTCGGGTAGAAGA